GATAGAGAAACTCATAAGTCTAGGGATGGCCCTAAAGGATAACTTACGTGCGGATCTTGTACTTCAGTCCCTACTAGATTCCTTTCTTGGTTCATAATGAATTTTCAAATGAACAAGCTTGAGGTGACTCTTCCTGAGCTTCTCAATGTATTGAGGGAGGCAGAGAGCACTATCAAGAAAGAGAAGTCAGTTCTCTATGTTGATGAGATCAAAAAGAAAATAAAGATAGAAAAGTCCCTTAAGAAGGGTAAGGGTAGACAAGGTAAAGCAAAGGTTGCTAGGAAAAACCCGATAAAAGGCAAAAGATAATGCTTCCACTGTGGCAATGATGGGTACTCTAAGAGGAACTACGAAGAATACCTTGTAGAGAGGACGAAATAAAAGCTTGGAGAGGCTTCAGGTACATTCATGATTAGTCTCACATGTGGTTTTTAATTTCATGGGTTTTGTACACCAATCTTCATATGATGATGAACATCTTTTGAGAAATTTGGGATTTTTGTTTCATGTTCTTCCGCTACGCATTTGATGTCACCCCTATATTTCCCTACAGATGCTCCTCAAATCACTAACCAAATCTCTACACCTACTATCTAAAGAGGAGAATAGGAGAGAAGAATAGGAGATGACAACCAAGAAGTCTAACCTATGACCCTTTGGTTCTCTCCTATTTATAGTGGTCCCTTGTCAACTTAGCCCTAATGTATCCTACCCTATTAAGCACGAAATTTCCATCTAACTAACCAAGTCTCTTAGATTAATGAATCTTTATCCAATAATCTCTTATTAGCTCTTATTTAATCTTATATATATGATTCAATAATTCATGGGCTTAATGGATATTCAATAAGATAGGGGGCTCCGACGGATATCTCATATATGAACCTCTATTCATCGCAAGACCTACCACATGTGTGTGACCCTCTAGGTTCAATATCGAGATGATCGTGAGTCATACCTGTTATAACTCCTTCCAGTTTAGTGAATTATTATCTCCATAATAATTTACTCGACTCGGTAACTATGGATGTACTATGTCACTACGTCGTAGTCCCTAGATGATATAAGGGAATCTAATTCTTTGGACATATATGTCCTCGGTTACTATATACCTACAGTGTCTTATCCATCTAATATCTCAAAGACCGTATATTGGGTATGGTGCTGTCATGCTCATATGGTTTCTCCTCGAGTCTCGCTCTAATCAGATTCACCCGGATAACTTTTTCTCTCTCAATCTGAATAACCTTGATCAAGGATTTATCTTACTACGAACACATGAGATATTTCTCTCATGATACTGAGAGCGGACGATCCTTTATCGATACTCAATAGCCCTTGTAAGGTTGGTTACCACTCCTGATGACCGGCTATACTAGATCTGAAACTTTCAAACCTATAAGTCTGGTATCAAAGAGTAGAGTACTCATATAAGACATCCTTGGTATCTCAAGTCTAAGAACCAAGTACACTACTAGAATAATGAAATTACTATTTGATAATGAATTATCATCAACCATCAAGCATTCCGTGAGCGAATCAATCAACGAACTCATTCTCTAATGAGCACCTGTATTGTAGCCCTAATGTTCCCATACGAGAAGTTATAAGACCAGTCACCTCCATCATATGGACGGATATATAGCACACCAGTCTGTCTAATTATCTCGATATCCCTCTCGAGTTTTCTATGATCAAGATTATTTAGGGTTTGTGTTTAAAGGTGAATTAGTCTCATTATCGTGGTCTCATTATGATCCGATTCCCATTGCACAGATCCATGAACATCACAATATATTTATGCATCAAACAATATAAAGTGAAAAAAATATCATAATAATAATAACTAAAGAGACTACGTATCATTTCACATGTACCATCACTTACGTTATTGGCTTGCAGGGCACTTATGAGTAGTAGTTGCAACCTCGCTTAGGTCCCATAAGATCTATAAAAAGAGCAAGTTGATTAGTTCAAATGCGAGCAATGAATAAATCTCGATATCTCATGAAGAAGATAACTTTACAAGCAATTTAGTAAACACTTTGTGCATAAGAGATAAAAGAGAGGAATGAGAAAATAAGGACTTTAGAAGGCGAAATGAATAGTCACAAATCCACAAACGACTACTCATCAGGTGTCAAGCATGATGGCAAGTTCCCATCAACTTAACATACGAACTTATATAAACTGATCAATATCTAACACTACACCAAAGCCTCATCCACCTCTGTGCCACCCAAGGGGTTCCAAGGGGTCTGAGCTGGCTAACATTTCATGTCGCACCATGATCTACGGTAAATAGGCCATAGTGAGCGATCACACTACAGCGTTGTAAACTATTCTTGCTTACATTTTTTAAGCAAAAATACATAAAATTAAGGCAAAACATGCTGCAAAGTATTTGTACAAGTATGGAAAAATGGTGAACAGTTCGCTAATTGAAGATGATGTGGGTATACAATGATCGTTTGTAATAGTTGGGTGTTGATTGGATTCATAAGTTTGTACGTTAAGCCTATTAAAATTTACCAACACTCCTGACACTTGGTGAGTAGTCACTTATGGATTTACGACTATTCATTTACATTCTAAAGTCCTTTTTTTTTCCTCACCAAAATGAATGAAATTATCCCGTAATAGCCTAGTTTTTATAGGTCATAGCCTATTTTCTATAGGCTATGATGCGGTGCGAAACGTCAACTATCTACCTCAAAACTATCCAAATAGCACAAGACTAGATGTGGGTTTAATGTAGCGTTGAGCGTTGAGCGTTGAGTGTTGATTGGATTCATAAGTTTACATGTAAAGTCTATAGAAACTTGCCAACATACTCGATACCCGATGAGCTATCGCTTGTAAATTTATGACTATTTATTTATTTTCTAAAGTTTTTATTTTTTTATTTTACATACGGTGTATTTACTAAATTGCTTTTAAAGCTAGTCACTTTTCATCAACACTTTTCCATTGCTATTTTCAAACCAATCAATTTACTTCTTTTACATGTCATTTGGGATTTGGGAATTGGATAAGGTTGCAGTTAGATTGATCCTCTATAGACGGATAATATAAAGGTACCTTGGATAATTATAGCTAAATCGATGATAATGAGGACAAGGTAAGAACGTAGTCAATGTTTAAAAAGATACTAATTTTGACAATAATTTGAGCTAAAATGCCTGGGTTTAGAAAGTTTAGAGGTAAACCTGGAACAAATTCGATTTATCATATCACAGCTAGGAACTCATTTCCATAAAAGAATATAGGTGGTCTCTAACGAACCAGTATGGTTGCGATAGGGAATGTTCCAACTTAATAATAATAGAAAGGTCTACCCATTATTAAATAAAAGAAGAGAGGATTCTCCCTAAGGAAAGAAATAACTAAATATTTGATTAATTATATATTTAATTTTTATTTTATTTCTAATTGGAACTAGATTTCAAACCATGAATTAATTTTCCTTTTTAGGTTGTATATGCAAGGAATTTAGTTAACAGCAAAACTAAAATTATACAATTTTAATTCAAAAAAATAAAAATCTGGTGATTACCTAAAATATCATGCAACGGAAACGTGTTCACTCTATTTATACTCTCGCGTGCACCTCACTTCCCCGACATCAAACCAGCATGGCTTCCGCGTTCAAGATTGCAGCGCTTTTCTTCCTTCTCTATGGCTCGTTGCGTTGGTCAGCGGTCTCCGGCACCAGTCCGACCGACATGTTCGAGCAGTGGATAGCTCAGCATGGGCGAACGTACGCGAACGAATCCGAGAAGTCATATCGCCTTGGGGTGTTCACCAGGAACCTGGACTTCGTGAACGCCTTCCGCCAAGCCGGGAACCGCAGCTACACCGTCGGCCTCAACCGCTTCGCAGACCTCACCAAGGAAGAATTCCTTGCTGCCTACACCACCACCGGACTGAGTCCATCAGACGACTCTTATCCTGGATTGCACCCTTTCCGATACGCGAATGTGATTGCTCCCAGTAGCATCGATTGGCGGAATAAGGACGCAGTGACCCCTGTCAAGGACCAATATTCGTGCGGTTAGGACGACTCCTCCTGCAACTCTTCCATTCCCATTCAATTAATTCTCTCAGGGCTTGTCGTGGCCCTATCGCCTATGGTTTACTCCGTTTCGGTGCATGGAACATGCAGGATCTTGCTGGGCATTCTCTGCAGTAGCATCGATAGAAGGCATCAACAAGATCGTGAGGGGGAGCCTGATATCTTTGTCGGAGCAACAACTGTTTGCTTGTGACCACAACGATGATGGATGTACCGGCGGTCTGCATTACCTAGCATTCTCCTACGTCTTCTCCAATGGAGGCATCACGACGGAAGAGAACTACCCGTACGAACCTAATCAGGTCGCCTGCGACGCTCCCAAGCAATCGGACCATGCCGTCTCCATAACCGGCTACGAGATTGTTCCCACGAACAACGAGAAGTTACTCATGAACGCAGTGGCCAACCAGCCAGTTTCCGTCTCCATTGACTCCCACGAGTTCCAGTTCTACACAGGTGGCATCTTCGACGGGCCTTGTGGGACCAACCTCAATCATGAAGTCACTCTCGTGGGTTATGGAACAGATAAGAATGGGACTGCGTATTGGATAGCTAAGAATTCATGGGGCACGTTGTGGGGTGATGACGGCTACATTCTTCTCAAGAAGGACGTCGCTGAAAAGGAAGGACTGTGTGGTCTTGCCATTAGGGCTTCTTATCCCATCATCTAATCAAGCCCTGAATTGGGCATCTTAGCTCATGCTTCCATCTTCGCAACCACTGTTGCACCATCTTTTCATTTGTCTTTGTCCCAAATTTATGTTTGTTGTGAATGGTACTTGAATTTTATTCCTTTTCTTCTCGTATGTAATCTATGTTAGATTTTAATTTGTGGTAAGTTAATTACCCGTTTAATTGAGCTCCTGTGTCCTTTCAAGACACATGGAAGCATCGAGTGACACCCATGTCGACTAAAACAGAGCTACTAGCTCTGTTTAAGCTCCAGGATTCTTGATGCATTCGATGTGCAGAGAGGAATGAAGACGTTAAGAGAGAGAAAGCGAAAAGGATAAAGATCGATTGAACAGATCCAATAGGAAATCTCGAATCGGACATTCTGCCCATAGCTTACTGAAACATAACCAATTTTGGAAGACATAACCTCTGGTTTGCAGCTCACAAACTGCTGCATTTCTTCCTCTGCTACTTGTGCAAAGCTTGTACTATAACAATCACTATGGCTATTGATTACACAATTACCGTTTAGCATGATGCTATTGAGTGATTCGTCTCTGCTGCTGCTCTCGGTGGCAGGACAACTTGGTGCGGCGCCGCGTTCCTTGTCGGTGCTTCTGACCGCCACCCAGTTGTCGTCCCATGTCCAAGTAGGGCTGCTGCTGCTGACAAGCTGTTGGATTCTTGCTGACGGATCAAAGAATGGGTGTTGGGATGGTTCCTCGTCTTGGTCGGGCAGTGACTCCCAGAATGCCAGGTCGAGCGTGCTCTTCGGGGAGACCCAGCGGCGATCTGTATCTGGCTTCGACGGAGAAGTTATGGACGAAGAAGCCACGAATTCATGCTGGAGGAGCTGCTCCGCCGTCCACCGCTCCCTGGGATCCCTCTTCAAGCACTTGCTCAAGAAGTCCTTTCCCTCCCCAGAGAGCCAGCTCGGAAAGGCCGGCACGTCCGGGGAGAATGCAACTCGATGAATCGCGGCGATGGGATCGGAGACGCCCGGCCAAGCGGGGCCACCGGTGGCCATCTCAATGATAGTGCAGCCCAGCGCCCACACGTCGGCCGGGGGACCCTGCTCTTCTCCACGGGCGACCTCCGGAGCCATGAACATGGGCGTGCCCCTCAACCCCTCTTCATCCTCCTGAGCAATCAAGCGCGCGCACCCCAAGTCGGCAATCTTGGCGTGCCCGTCGGTCCCAACCAGGACGTTCCGGCCTTTGACGTCGCAGTGGACGACGCCTTGCGAGTGAAGATACACCAACCCTCTCAGGATCTCACAGCTGTAGCATCGAATCGCGGCCTCATCGAGCCGACCTCCCTGCTTCCCGATCTCGTCCGACAGCGAGCCCCTCGGAGCATACTCCAGGAAGAGATTATAGTAGAGACCGCCGGTAGACCCGTGTGAGCTGATGTCGAACCCGAGGCAAGATACAACGTAAGGAGAACGGAGGGAAGACAGGATCCTCTGCTCCCGCTGCAGGATGGCAGAGCGACCGAGCTCCGCGCACTTGACCGCGAAAACCGCTCCGGAGTCCAAAGCTGTGGCGAGCGAGACGGTGGCGGAGGAGCCACGGCCGATGACACGGCCTCGTCGCCACCCACCGATTTCCATTCGGCGAGGTGGATAAACGAGAGATTAATGTTGTACGTCTGGCTAGTTTTGGCAGTGTCGTAACATATATAGCAGCGCGATTAAGACTCGGTTGAGTGTGAGCTTTCTTACGCAACTGTCGAACGCAGAGAGGTCCTCCTCGGATGAGCCAAGAGGCGTACCACCTAACAACGAGGGAGTAACGCATGGGGGATGAGGTCACCCGCACCGTGTTTCGCAAACCTCATCCAACGTCAGGCCGACGACGATAACACTCCAACCACGAGACACTATTTCTTGTTGTGACATGGAGGAGGACGGTGTGAGCCGTCTTGATTGCACGCCGAACAGTACCTAAGATCGTTTCTCCTCCCTATCTCTCTGCCACTTTTCCCCGTGACCACATGCTTCGATTCTGAGGTTGCGTTACGCCAGCACATCTCCCACCGCTGCGTCAGCCATAACGTCAGAATTGGATTTGACGCATTGATCGTGATCCATCGAAACTATTGCTTGTCGACTTGATCGAGCACACCACGTGCTCGCGATGGGGACCGGGCGAGTTGCAATGATGGGTGGGCGAGGTTGGTGGGCGGTGGTATTCATTGCGGAAAGCAGCGTCGACTGCGGAGCGAAAGCTGTGAACTTTACGTACGTGGCTTCTTCCATGCGCTTCGTTTCGTTCAGGGGAAGGAAATAAATGGAGTAGGAACGAAATCTCGATTTACCACGTCATAGAACAACACTTTCTTCGAAAGCTAATCGTTTCTCCAAAAGATCGCAGGTGACATGTAAAACATTGTAATAGAAAATAATGACATCAATATTATACGATTGACACCCAACCGTGGATTATAACTTGAGAAATAACATGTGCGGAATAACCGATGCCCCTCACCTACAGCCATCGACAAGAGGAGCATGATCCTAAAACCCTTGCACGCCTCGACCTCCTGATCATACGAGCCAATAGCAAGATGCATTAATCCCTGATTACAAGACTCATTCTCTCGATTTTTTCTTTATTGATCAACGATCACAAGCAATCTTTCAGGAAGACTATCACACTCGACTACAAAGGGCATTAATCCTAGGCGATATGGTTCAGTTCTCCTTTTTCCTCTTTTCGAACTCTTAACATAAGGGATTTTCCCTTGCTTGTCTCAAACATGCTCCAGCCCTTACATACGATGCTCTCACGATCGTTCTTCCCAGACGCTGCACTCGAAGAGGTATGCTGACCAACCCTTGACATAGATGAGTCGTTGAACAACGTAAAAGGCTCTTGACTAGCCACTAGCTATACTCCATCGACCACTTAGGTATAAAAACTAGCTCCAAAACCTAAAGGGGCAAACATCTTTATTATTTTTATCTCTCAACTAATTTTACCATCGAAGATGTCATGTCAAGAACATCCCCCGATACTAACCATTTGTGTAGGGATCTCGGCGAAACTAAGACACACCAATCGGATCTGCTCCCTGCTCCAGCATCCTCTCGTGACCCCTTATGGGCCCTTCGGACGAGTTTGCACTTTCGATACCAAATCAAATCATGATAACTCCACAACAACATGCAACAACACATTGTGCTACTAATCGTTTCATCTCGACTTAGGAACCTTTGATAATGATGAAGGATAATTCTAGGCATTAGTCAATTGCAACTTTCCAAGGTCTGACAGTTGTTCTGCATTGACTTCCCCTTCCCCTGCATGGGTTCTCTGCACGGACGTTCTTTCATTTGATCTGCAACACCAATCACAAATGCATGCTGAACTTTAACGATGACTCAAAGGCAAGGAGCAGCTTATCGCTCTCGAGCCAATCATCTCCTTCCTCTCTCTCCTCACATTTTGAGTGAGCCCCCACAACAGTCAACACGAGGGAAAAGAGGCCACAGCTTCGCCACGCTCTTAGATCCAACACGTTTTCCTTTTGGCTCGCTCAACCACCCATCGGCATAGAAACGTAGGACGTCATCTCCATTTAGTTGGATGTTGGCCCTCACCATGGGCTGTCGATTTAGTACACTGGTGCGATAGAGACATATTGTTGATGCTTGCATGCGGTTTTGATAGGGGTGTTCATACCAATTTCGACTAAATCATTCAGAGCCTTTGATTAACATAAGAAAGATACAAATAAAAAATAATTCAAAATTGATAATCCAGATTCATTAACCAGTTCATAGGAAATATTATGGCGGTCAATCTCATCCCGTTAGCTGATCGCCACAAAAGCACCAATGTAAAAGACAAGGATCGAGTCACCTGCCATAAGCAGCAACATGGAAGCCATTCGGGCTGGCCCAATCGACTTATGTGGATAGTAATCCATGGGCAACCTTTCGGATCCCCCCTCCCATAGGCGACATATCATAAAAGGTCATTCGGATATGTCATCCCCGTGGACAAGATACCATGGGAAAAGCTTTATGATCGTTACAAGTCTATCGTCCTCATGAACAAAACGTCAATGAAAGACATTACGATCGTTACAAGCCTACCGATCCTATAGACAAAATGTTAAAAAGAAGACATTATGATTATTACATGTGATTTTCTCGACTGGACAAGTATAAAAGCCAACCCCCCGCGTTAGCCCAAGTAATTCTAACTTGAGAGTCGGAGGGGTTGGATCAGAAAACTCTCACATGACATTGACTTCATGCAAGAACCCAACAAGGAGCCAAACCCCCACCTCGGTTTGACTTTGGGACCACATCAGATCCTCGAATCTACCTCGGATGCCTTGGTACCCCCTTAATTACTTCGCAAAATGCTCATGCGAATCCACCTCAGATGACCTTACACATGACCAAACCTGACCAGCTAACAATTGACAGTACATTCCCCACAACATTGATTAATCGATATATAATTTTAAATAATATATATTAAATAAAATCGATTCGATTAAATTAAATTAATTAATCAATTTGAATCACTTAAGATGATAAATTTAAATAGACTAATACTTTTTAAATTAAAATTGATTCAATTCAATTCGAATAAATTAATCAAATCAAAGAAGAGTGACTATAAATTGAAACTTTTTTAAAAATAAACTAATTATTAATTAGTTTTGATTTGATTTTCTAATTCCATTTTAACACTCGTAGGTTTTAACCCAGAAATCCTCCATGTGCACGCCCATAATAATGACCCACAAAAATGATAGTCATATTTTGTTTTTTTTTATGATGATGTTTTGTGAATATTATGATTGTAAGTTTAATTATAGAAATTCTTCAAAACCTTATTTTGATATGGTATGATAAATTCCAAGAGGCATGAAGTTTAATTTGAATTTTAAATAGCTAACAGAAAAGTAATGGCCCAATAAACGGCCCGGTTAGGGACAAAACGAGGCCGGAGAAACGTGTTCACCTCATTTGGCGACCCGGCCGGGTTAAACCCAGGAGAAGAAGTGCATAGATTGTGGGAAATCCATCGGGGCCCAGGCGACGTTCCTTTGCCAGGGGAGAGGGTAAACTATCTTCCAGACCGTAGAACAAATATCTTCGAACACATCAGCACGTGCCACGCTAGCAAATGGAGCGGCCGAGTTGAGTCTCGAAAGATGGTAAATATCCCGGTGGGGTCGGTTTGTTGGCCGTTTGCTCCGCCTCCACGCTCCCTCCTCCCCCGCTCTTTCCGCGAAGGCCTTCCCCAACAAACCGCCCCTCGGTCGCTCCATTCTTCTTCCCGCCGCTCCACCCGGCTTCCCTGCCCAAGCCAATTGCTCCGATGGTCTTTTCCGTTTTCTCCCTTTCTCCCATCATACCCACCTACTTCACTTCCTTCCCGCATGCTCTCCTCTTCCTAGGCTTTGCGGAGGGATTCTGTTTGGCCGGTCATGGAGCCGTTGTGCGAGCTGTGTGGTGCCCAGCGTGGCCTCGTCTACTGCAAGTCTGACGCCGCCCGCCTCTGCCTCCCCTGCGACGCCTTCATCCACTCCGCCAACGCCCTCTCCCGCCGCCACCTCCGCGCCCTCATCTGCGACCATTGCCTCACCCAGCACGCTGCCGTCGGATGCCTCGACGACCGCCACTCCCTCTGTCAGTCCTGCTACCGGGCCGGACCGACGCCGGCGGTTGCGGCCCCGGCCATCGCCACCACCCCCTGAGCTTCTACTCCGGTTGCCCCGCCCCACTCGAGCTCTCCGCAATGTGGTCCTCGCTGCTGGGCCTCTCGAACAATAGTCATCCTCAGGAAGGCGGCTTGGATAAGATGGCGATGATGACCATCGACCAGAATTGTGCGAGTAACTGCTGGGGCGCCGGGCAGGCTGTGAGCTCGGGCATGTTTGGTGGGCACGAGAACTCGGTCGCGAAATTTGATCCGTGGGTGGCCGTTGCTTCTTCTCCGTCGATGGCACCACCTGAATCCAATTCGGTGCCTCCCTGTGGACCAGAGCAACAGGGTTTCTTTCACAGGGAATGCAATCTGCCCAAGGTTATCTTTCTATTGACTTTCTCAGCAAGCGCATTACATCATCTCATTTTGTAGTACCAATTGTGGTTCTCTGTCTTGGTAAATAAAAGTTGCAAATTTCTATTCTTCAAACATTTAATTTCTATTTTGACTAATTAATGTTTGCATTGGCTATTTTGACACACTCAATATGATGGCCATTCCTTTACTTGAAAGTCTCAGATCAAATACCAGTATTTCTTTTCCACCTTGTTTGTAGTGATTCCAAGAATATCGTCCAGTCGATAGGAAACTTTTATTCACAATACTTGCTATTATGTCATCCTTGTCTATCTCTTTGAAAGTGGAGCAAACACATATATTTATTTGTGCATTGAGCTTATGTTGTTAATCCGGAATGTCATGATGTTATTACAAGATGATTGGGCATGCTCAGTATTTAGATTTTCTTCATCTTGTATAATATTTTTTTGAGGAGAATATACTCTGAAATCTGAATTGTAAGTCTGTTGTACTAGAACATTCATACAATGTGATGGCAGATGGGATTTCCAGCTCTCAGTGATCTTGGGATATGTTATGACGGCGAGCTTTGTCAAGGTTTTAGCACTGGCATCGCTGGCTTTAACTTCCATTTCCGGATACAGAATTAGATGGCTTTGTCATGGGGAAGAATTTGTCTGTTGCAGAATCGAGAGCACATTAGAGGTTTCCTCTTTTTACTAACTTGATATCAGCTCTACTTGTTGGTTAAGATTGGGCTCTTTCTTATATTTTTCTTTTTTGCTTTTCTTCTAATTCAGACATTAGAATCTCTGCTTTAGTAATATGTCACTACAACTCATTTGCTTTCAATTTTTTTTTTTTGAATTACTTGCCAGTTTTTCTTAATTTTGCTTCAGCAGAACAATTGGTTGTTTTTTCTTGCTTATTTCATTAGATCTGCAGAATTAATGAAACATGCATCAGAACGGACGGAAATGCTCTATATCTGATAGCTTCAGTATTACATAGTTATGGGTTTGGATGTAAGAGTCCGAACTTTCTGCTATGTTATCCCACCTCTGTATTTTCTTCAGGTAACAAATTTCTTACAGAGAATATAGTAAATTGGAACGGTGTTAATCTTAATGTATATAGTTTGTTTCTAGTTTGAGGCAACAGCCACTTTGAAGCAGGTGCAATCTGCAGCTTCTCTTGTTTACATTAGAACTTCATACTTTGAGATAGAATACTTCTATTTATGAATCTTCTAACGGTCACAGATTTCCTTTATTCATGTACAAATTATATAGTAGACAATGTTTTGATCTATTTCTTATGATCAATGTTATATACTGGCTACAGACCTCATCTTCAGTACAACAAGATTGCATGGCTCTTCAGTCATCTGACATGTTTCAGCCAACCAATGCTGGGCAGATAGGGAGCAGCAGTGCAGATCCATCATTTATAAATGTCGATAACAACAGAAGTGGCAACTTCATTTTCCACAATGGAAACGTCTGCCCAACTATTTCTCTTTCTCTTTCAAACTTGACTGGAGAAAGTAGTGCGGCTGATTACCAGGACCGTGGGGTATCACCAACGTTCCTCACAGGTGAGTCAACATGGGATTCCAATCTCGAACCTGGACGCCCACAGGCGAGGAATGAAGCAAAAATGAGATACAATGAGAAAAAGAAAAGTCAACTGTAAGTGGTTTCTTTTGGTACCAATTTAATGCTCAATGCTGAAATGCATTTTATTATGCCTTCTGAAATTTATTGAGCTCCAAGTCAGACCCAACCTCTGCTAGATGAAACTGACACGATAAGACTCAAAATTTAAACTTACTAAGCTTTTGCATGCTTTAAGTTTTTAGGGATGTTATATATGATAAAGAATCAAATAAGATGTTATTTCAGAAGCATGTTTTGCATGCTTCAGCTGAAATATCTTATTTACATGTTAATGATTTCTGCTCATGGAATTTGGCTTTGGATCTCTAACCTGTATATCATGCATGAGATTTCCAGGTTCAGGAAACAAATTAGGTATGCTTCACGTAAAGCTAGAACTTATGACAAGTTTGTAAAAGCTGATGAAACTTATGACTACGATCCTCTTCTAGCCGGAAACACCTGAACCAGTTTCAAGGGCGTTTTTATTCTTTACAACTTGTATTCAGATCAGGTATGTCAGGCAGTCTATTTCTGCTTGAAATTTCAAGTTTCTCTATGATAATCTACACATAATTTTCCAAGGAGAGGTGACATATAGCATCAGATTTAACAAGTTTAGCACATAATCTACTCATGCTTCTATTTTGTGTTTCCCTCTTTGTTTTACTGTTATAGGTAACAAAGATATGATAGTTCAGGAATCTGTTCTATGTTAAGCCTTTAGATAAAATTATTACTTTTCAGATAAATCTAATTACTTATATGTGTCTTCATATAATTATCTTGAAATTCAAAAATAATTGGGAACTCATTTGGGGTTTCTCTTTCAGTCTATTCACCACACAGGCAAGCTAATTTTTCTTCTTTAAGGTTTTCTTTGGCTTACCAGAAAATTTTCATTTCTTCATCCCTTTGATAGAAATCCTCCTCATTAATCCATCCCTCTTGCTGCCTATCAGGACCCACAAACAGAGACTAGCAATAGAAAGCAATGCTGAATTCATCAGTCACATGCCAATGATACTAACTTCTGTCCGCATCTACTGTGTCTCTAAATATTTATTCTCCAAAGTGGTCCTCTATTGCCTTTGTACTGTCTAAAACTTCCTAGCTGTAAAGTTCAGAGAACACCACCTCCTTTATCTTGATCATGAGCTTCTCTTTTTGTATGTGCAGGATCGTATATAGCAATGATGCATCTTCACCGGACAACCTTCTCAAGGAGGTTATTCGTTTGGGAGTTACCTCCAGCCAGGATTATTTTGGTTCTTCTACTTGCTCGGTTTTCCACCCTATACCATTCTTTGAACTCGCTAAGAGTTCCCATGTGTCTTTACCATTCTTTGAACTGGTTAGAGTTCCAATATCTCTTGTTCCAAATCGAGACGATTTTGGATAAGTTAGATTATGGAATCTGTTCTAATAAACGCTTATTATGGAATCTGTTCGATGACATCTTTTCTTTTTGATTATTCAAAGCTGGATATGTTCCTGTACTATGAAATTGGAATAAAGAGAGACAACATCAACGTCCATGAAATTGGTCCGATGAAGAGTCTATTATTGAAGAGACAACATCAATGTCTATGAAACAGCAACGTCTAAGATGCAGTGACAATGATGTCACTGAGGAACAATGATGTCAAAGTCGCTCAGAATCCACTCAGCGGCAGCATCATCACTCTTGTAGATCTCCGTGCCAACATCAAGCGAAGTCCACTTCCTTTTCGCTGCGGTTGTGTTAGGGTCCTACTTACAATGCCCAGTATCAGTCATCGTGAATGAAGGTTAGCAAAAACAGAGAGAGAGAGAGAGAGACGGCATAACCTGATAGAAGTAGAGAGACTGGGACAGCCTTCCCACATCGAGCTCCCAGGTCCTGGGATCACCAACCCAACCCTCGCCCGGCTTCGTTGGGTACCCGTACTCCGCCCACGCCGCATGAGGCAGGATCTGAAGGATCTCCTGCGGCTGGGGGTTGCTGTAAGGGTCGCAGGACCTGTAGGGCTTCTCCGGATTCAGGGCGTTCCCTGGGGAGCAGTACACATGATAGGCTTCGTAGGGGAAGTTGGCAGTGTCAGTCCGGTGAATCCGAGTCCCGTTGGCTAAGGTGTGGTAAGGGGGGCACTCATGGAGGCTGTCCGCCCGGCACCACTTCTCGGTTTGGGGATTCAGTATCATCTCGCTGTACCGGGTGACGTCGCTCGTCACGTCCCCGTCGCAGGGGTCGCCGTTGTTCTTCCAGCAGCTGCCCATGTCCATCAAGTAGAACTGGCTCGCCGAACCTCCGCCTCTTTTGATGTCCAGCGTCAACCTCACCTTGAAGTTGGGCGATTCCGGGATCTGCATCGCAAATGAGACTCTCGATGTTGTCTCTGCAAGGGAAGGTAGACAAAGAGAGAGAGGAATTGAGTGGCTTACTATTGTGGTCATCCCTCTGGTTTCGTAGTGGTATCCGCCAGAGAAGCCCCTCGTGGCGTCGGACCTCAGGTAGAGCATGAGCCAGGGGTACGACTTAGTGGTCTTGAGGACATGGTGGAAGGACCAACCACCCTTCCCCAGCTCCTTCTCCCATGACACCGAGAAGTAGGACGCGTTGTCAACTTCCTCGCCGATATGACCATCGAGATCGTAAGTGCCGTAGAACCTCCCTGAAAGCTTGGTGCCGTTCAAGATGGTACTGTCGTGGAACACCAGTGGCTGGTTCATGCACCCCTTACCGAAGCAGGGGAACCTCGACTCCGGCGGAAACGGGCCGACCTTGTTGCCGTCCTTGGGGCACAGGCCGGCGGAAGTGTCCAGATTCCCGTTCTTGAGCATGATCATCCAAAACTGCCAGGGCGTATTGTCATCAGCGACCTCGCACTTCTTCCCCAAGTAGAGCTCCTTCTGGACGGCATAGAGGTCGACGTTCTTGAGGCTTTTCGGTGGCGCTTCCGGGAGATCATCGCCGAAGCCGAGCCTGTTGTCCTTGTCGGCTACCTTGTGCACCACCTCCGTCTTGTTTACTGCAACACAAATCCGGCAATCACTCAAACTGTGACTTGTCGGGACGCAGGCGAAGAATGTCGCCCATTAAAAGAAAGAGTGATACAGACCGATGTCGAAGCAGTCAGCGAGGCGGGGGCTGCCCATGCCGGGGGCTTCTTCTCCGACCTCATTGCAGAAGTTCCAGGCCTCCAAAGCCACCCTCAGTCCGTCTCTTTTCATCCCAGGGTCTCCCACTGCCGATCTGGTCTTTGGGTTGCCTCCGCTGCATACCAAAGAGAGAAGACAACAACAGGCGACCACAAAGAGTGCCCCGCGAGAACGGAGCCCAGCGGAAGTCCCCATGGAAGCCAACAACAAGCAAGGATGGCTATTGTGTTCAGAGTGAGGAGAAAGGAAAGCAGGTGAGAATGTGGCAACGGGATTTGCTTTGCGTCCAAGAGATGATGCTTCACAGAGTGTTCTCTTGCCGTGTAAATAAGGGGGCTCGTCCAGAGGTTTTGCTTCCCCTCTTTCGTTGAGAAGAGCTCGCGGAATCGATTGTGTTGTTACTCTTGATTTCGTTGATCGTATATGATTGGATGAGATGTGATTAAATAGATCTTCTAATATAAATTTTGATGATTTAGTATCTTCTAAATCTTTTTTTAGATGATATTTATCCATTTCCAAATTAGTACAGCAATTTGTATATACAGTTGATTGATTAGATCTGATTATATGAATTTTGTTGATTTACTATCTTCAACGGATAATGGTATTTATCCATTCCCAAATTATTACAGCAATTTATATGATTAATTTTCTTCTCCAATTATATATATAATACATATATCTATATAATACATATATAAATATAATACATATATCTATATAATACATATATATATAAATGCATATATATAATACACATATATGTATGTATATATATATATATATGTATATGTATATGTATATGTATGTATGTATATATATACATACATATATTTATATACATATATATATATATATATATATATATATATATATATACACACACACTGCAAGGAACCGAAAGCAGAACGTACAACAGCGAAAGCAAGAAAAGAAAGCAAAGTGCATCGACAGAGAACCTTCAGAAGCGCTCTTTATCCTCCACCTTTGCCTCTTAACACCTCCTTCCGACCATGACACACCACTGCAACGCCTCGTCTTCCCTTCTCATCGTCCACAATGGACTTCCTCTCCCCGCTCCTCGTCGCCGTCATCGTTTTCCTTTCGATCGATACCCACTCCTTGGCACAGTCCAGTCTCTGCCGTACGTCCTGCGGCGCCATCCCCATCCGCTACCCCTTCGGCATCGACGACGGCTGCGGCAGCCCCTACTACCGCAACATGCTCATCTGCGCCAACTCCTCCCGCCTATTCCTCCGCACACCCTCGGGGACGTACCCCGTCGCCGCCGTCGACTACACCGACCCCCACCTCGTCGTCAACGACCCGTCCATGTGGAGCTGCCGCTCCTCCGGCACCGACGGCGCCGTGCTCCGGCGCGCGGCCAACCCCTTCAGCCTCGACACCAGCACCCGCTTCTCGCTCTCGTCCAAGAACGACTACCTCTTCTTCAACTGCAGCGGCGAGTCCGTCATCGTGGAGCCCAAGCCCGCGTTCTGCGAGCGCTTCCCCGACCGCTGCGACTCGGCCTGCGACAGCGCCGCGTACCTGTGCCGCAACCCGCCCGAGTGTCCCGACGCGCTGGCGGACCGGCGGACTAGCTGCTGCTCCTACTACCCCAAGGCGTCGGAGTCGCTGAGGCTCCTCCTGCAGCACTGCTCCACGTACGCGAGCGTGTACTGGAGGACGGTGGGCGCCAACTTCCCGCCGTACGACCAGGTCCCGGAGTACGGCATTCGGGTGGACTTCGAGATCCCGGTGACGACGAGGTGCCTTCAGTGCGAGGACGTCAGACGGGGCGGGGGAACCTGCGGGTTCGAGACGCAGTCGAGGAGCTTCCTCTGTCTCTGCGACGAAGGCAACGCCACCACCTACTGCACAGGTAACTTTGCACGTAATTAATTAAGTAGTTCTTCTAGCTAATTGCAGGGTAACTTTTAGCTTTTGCAGAGATATATAGTTGCATTAAGAATCTAAAAAGGAAGTAAAATAAAGGAAGACATAAAGCGCTTTATTATGGTGGCTTCTTCGCCCAGTAAAGCATCTCCGTAGCATCGCTTTTTTCCGTTCTCTCAGATGTGTTTTAGCTCGAATTTCCAAAACGTTGATCAAATGACATAGCATCCTCTGAACAAATCACGAACGTTGCAACCCTTCATCTGTTACGTTCGGACTCTTTTCTTTAGCACAGTTAAAAGCATTTATTTGCTAATTGAATCTGCGTGTTGCACGGTAGATGGCACGTACAGAGGGCGTCGAGCATCAGCTGCAGTCATTGCAGGTAAGGATCGGTTTATCAGTATGGATGTTTTGCATTTGGAAGACTTCTTCTGCGTGTAACGAGAAGCATCGTCTTCTTCTCAGGGACGGCCACTGTTTCGGTGGCGGGTGCAGTGGGGATCGGAGCTCTCGTCTGGTATCTAAGAAAAATAAGGAAAAATAGCGTGGTGACTTGTGGGGTCCAAAGCAATGAGAATCGTCTATTTTAGATTCCTTTTTTTTTTTCTTTTTTTGTCGTGGAGATCTTCTTTTCCTACATGTATTAAACATATTTTTCTTGTTTTACGTCAACATATCATGCTTGATCTGAAGATGAATTTGGGTATTAAGCGTCGGGACTACTCGTGTGTACGAATAATTAATTATATTTTGATAAATATTAAAACAGTCCGATGGCACAATATATTTGACCCGAGTTACAGTGGTGTACAATTATCATGTATATTAGCCATCATTAGTTGGACTGCTACTCAAATTCTGAAATAAAAAAAAATGATATAAGTGACATATCGATAAATTTTGAATTGAAAATATTCATATATTTTTATTAATAAAAATAGAAAAAAAATTATTACAGGCAGACATGAATTGCTTGCTTGCGTAATAATATACAAATCTAATTCAGATGTCTCCATAGAAAATATTTATGTTGACTCGACCCGCTCGGCGCGAATTTGTGGAGCCCAAACCGGGAGGCGTCCCGGTCCGACGACGTGAGTGTAAAATTACAAGATCACCCACTTCACTCGGCTCCGTCATCAAAACGCGGACGGGTCGATCGCGTCGCCACCACGCAGCGTCGTTCGTCCGCCACATAGTTACCAGCATCGCGGTGCATCCCTACGGCGCAGGTGAGCGAGTCCTCTGGTGCGGACGGGCCCGGCGCCATCATGTCTGCTCCAGCCACGGAAGGGGCCGCCGCGACGGCCCTCCGCTCGGTGCTCACCCGGGCCCAGCAGGCGGCGGAGCGATGCGGTCGGTCGCCGGAGCAGGTTCGAGTGGTGGCGGTCAGCAAGACGAAGACCGTATCCCTCATCCGCCAGGTCTACGACGTCGGCCACCGCTGCTTCGGTGAGAATTACGTCCAGGAGATCGTCGAGAAGGCCCCTCAGGTTCCCCAATTTCTTTATCCTTCCCCTTCTTTCTTCGCCCTGAAAGACTTCAGATACATCTGCGACCTAGATTTAACAAGATGCATTCTATATCAAGTTTGATTCGGTGTTTGAATGTTTCAAGAAGCCTGCCTCGGTCAGTGTAATATATGCTCTTTTGTTTATTGCTTCCCTGAATAAGATGATGCAAAATAACATCTTACCTGGGAAGAAGTCCACAACCCTAATCTTTCTGTTCTTGGAAATTGCTCCACTGTAGCTTTCGGAACTTTGTTTTAATCAATGAAATCGATGCGGCATAGGATGGTGACGACAATCGACCAGGAAGTATCAATTTGAAGTTCAAATCTTGGACAATCCATGAAGACTAAAGTTAGGTAGTGCCATATCTGTAGAAGGATAGGAATGTGAACTTTGATGGATCAATGAGTTTTAGTTACTTTATGCTTGTTCAGTTGAATGCTTGAAATATTTGGAAGCATGGAGAGAATTGAAATTGCAGATCACAATAGTCTGTCGAGGAAGTTTCTAACAATATATATATTTATTTTTATTTTGTTCAGGGAGTAGTTGGAGTTATCATATGTGCAGAAGTTTCCAGCAATGTATATTTATTTTTATTCTGCTGAAGGTATTAACTAGCTTAGCTGGTAAAGACTTTGACGGTTCATTGCAAGGTTGATACCGGGGAGGGTAAAAATGCAGAATGGATTTCCAAATAACACCGATGGAAAATTTGTTCGGATAGAAAATGTCACGGTAGACAAGGAAGAACTGATACCAGAAGCACTAACGAAGCAGCTTAGATAAAAACGAAAAGTAGCTCACCATCAA